TATAAACATGAGGAGTACTTTGGTTTAGAGTTTTAGTTATTTTAGTTGCCATCTTGATTGTTTTCTTTTTCTTTTTCTTTTGATGATTGTCATGAACTTTGTATTAATTTTAATGACCATAAAGCATTTCATTTCATAGCATTTCATTTCATTTTCATTTCAAGTTCCTATATGTATCCCTATAGAGAAAAAAATTGCTTAAAAATTTGAACACATGAATACTTTTGAATCTGCACTATTACTTAGGGAACAGCTGGTTATATTTCATTGTTGTATTAATAGTCAAAGGTAAAATGAAAATAATGAAAATATTTACATTATTTTTGTGGCTTGAAAATTTTTTACTGCATATAAGACATGGCCGTGATTTAAACTATGTCAAAGGAATAATTATTGGCTAACGAGTTTAACCTTTATTTTTAGCGAATTACCCTATAGGGAAGTAGCTATTACCGTAGGTGGCATGGTAAGACCTAGGCCCAGGACCGATTTACTTTGTGACGCTTTTTTTGCTGTTTTTTTTTTTTGCACCCGAAGTTGGTAGGGCATAGATGTGACGTACATTTCCACACTGAAACATATATCACTAGTTTACATGCCAGGTTCAAGTACCACGTGCTATACAGCACATTTAGTTTTAAGGAGATTTGGGTTGGCCTTCCAGGGTTAGCGTCAAGATACTACTTTCACACTCAGCCGTACCTAAACATCAGAACCCAGAACCTCAGAAACCTCGCCTTGGCTGAGGTTTACTGCGTCGGGGATCTCGAGCATCTGGTTCATCACCCAGATGTCGCCGTGGTCCGGAATAATCCTCACGGACCGGTCACTGCCCCTTCTACCGCAGTGATACGTGGTAGCCTTCCATGGACACTAGTCGCAACCCCCTAAATCTTTTTCTTGTTCAGCACACGACATTCAGCCAGGCGCTTGGGTTCGACATAAAGTATATAGTTTTGACTCCGTCTGCCATTGTAGCCTGGGGTTCACGGTAGCTCCTGTCATCACAGCCGCAGGCTGAGGCTCATTCTGCCCCCCCCCCACTCAGCGTAGTAGGCTGGGGCTTATCCGGCCTCACCTGGCCGTCGTTGCAGGCTGGGTCACTTGTAATCACCGTCGATGCTACTGCAGACCCAAGTCATACTTCCCATCCGTAAGATTTGTCATACTAATAGCTAATTGAAAAAGTCCCCATAATCTCGTTGCAGCATTTATCTGCCAACAATTTGAATAAACTGGTTTTAAATCTTTTAAAATCTGTCAAACACTTTATGGTGCTAGGCAGAGGCAGACTATTATACAATTTTATACCACAGTAATATGGAGAATGTTCAATGGTGGAGGTGTTATGTCTAGGATATGTAAGGCTATTCTTTTGTCTTGTGTTATAGTTGTGAAAATCAGAGTTATTTGGAAAATGTGATAAATGTTGTCTTATGTACAAAATCAGACTATATATGTATATACTGGGAAAAGGAAGAATTTTGTGATTTTTAAAAATACTCTTACAGGATTTTTTTCCTTTAAGTCCAAAAATAATACGGATAATTCTCTTATGTATTTTTAAAAACTTTCCTATCTGAATTTCCACAGAAGATCACACCATAATTAAACAAACGATAGACATAACCATAATAAACCATCATGAGAGTAGATATGTCAACAGATTTAGATAAAATAATGTACATAAAATGTGCTTTATTTACATATGGCCTTATAGTAGGCATACACCATGTTTCTTTGTCTGGATTTTATTCCTACTGTTTGATATTTTCTGTATATTTGGTGGAGTATTTTTTAACAAAAGTGTTTTACCTTTAATATTGTTTTCTGATGTGGCAAAATCATCCAGATTATGAGCAAAAATCTAATATATAAAATTCTCGTGTCACAGTGTTTGTCTGCAAACTCCTCCGGAACGACTTCACCGATCGTTATGAAATTTTGGTGTGTAAATTCTGTAGGTATGCGAATCGGACGTAAACTATTTCCCGTTTCGAAATTCTTAAAAGGGCTCCACCCCAGTGGCTCTGGAGTTTCCCATGTTAACCTTATGAGAAATGGAATTAATGAATCTTAACAGCTGTTTCAATTAAACAAGTTGGTTCTGTTCTATGATGTTCAATAGCATTAAAGTTACAAGGATTACCAACAGGGTGCAGCACTATTATTTCTTTTACATTTATGACAACAGCTAATTTGCAACCAAAAGGTGAGTGAGCGTAGCGAACGAACTTCAACCTGGAGGCGAGTTAGCGTAGCGAACGAGCTAACCTGAAGGCAAGTGAGCGCAGCGAACGAGCTCCAACCTAAAGGTGAGTGAGCGTAGCGAACGAGCTCCAACCCAAAGGTGAGTGAGCGTAGCGAACAAACTTCAACCTGGAGGCGAGTTAGCGTAGCGAACGAGCTAACCTGAAGGTAAGTGAGCGCAGCGAACGAGCTCCAACCTAAAGGTGAGTGAGCGTAGCGAACGAGCTCCAACCCAAAGGTGAGTGAGCGTAGCGAACGAACTTCAACCAGGACGTGATTGAGCGATGCGAACGAGATCATCTTGAAAATTAAAAGTAACGGTACTTTCTTTCCATCGGTCTGTCTTAGGGGAAACCTACTGTATAACTTAGGCGATACGAAGTTCGCCGGGTCAGCTAGTATCTATATATTGATTTGAAACTGTTTTTCTTTGTGACAGCTAATTTGAGAGAACGGCTGGGCGTAGAAACTCGGTAGAGGTGTCTAAAGAAAGGGCTTGGTCAGTAGATGAGCCATCAAAAGAGAAACGTGGTAAATTCCCTTGGGGCTCTGCCCTAGTGGCCTTTAAATTCCCATCCCATGTTATTCTTATGGGGGAAAAACGGGTTTTTGTCACAGCTAATTCCAGAGAACGGCTGGGCGTACAAACTTGGTAGGGGTCTCTAAAGAAAGATCTTGGTCTCTAGATGAGCCATCAAAAGAGAAACGTGGTAAATTCCCTTGGGGATCTGCCCCAGAGGCATTTAAAGTCCCCTCAGCAGATTTGTTTACATTATGACCATATGTATAATTATTTCACATTACTTTTTAATGAAACAGCTGTTAATATTCAAATTGTGATTTATTGAATTTGTCAAAATGAAGTACAGTATTGGGTTTTTCTGATTTTAAAATGGATTTTCTTCTGCATCGTATCATGTTTTGCAATATAATGTTCCATTACCAAATCAGTAGAAAATCCTATTATCACAGTAACTCTTTTCTTTTGGAGTTAACTTATATCTATTGTTGGGTTGGTTTCTGATAACTCTTTCAGTTAACTCAGTTAACTAGATAAGTTAAGAAGATAAGTTTCAGTTAACTCTTATGGTCTATTGGGTTGGTTTCTGCCTGTTTTACCACTTCTTGGAGATTGTACGTAGGTGATATTCGTTGGCATATTGCATCTGTGAAACTTGGGTTGGTGTATAGAATGGAAAAGAGTGAGAAATCCTGGACAATTTGATATAGGCTAAAAATAAAACTGAATTAACACTGTTCTACATTTCTTGAGCAATCATTGAAAAACCCGATTTGCAAACAATGGAAACATAGAAAAAGTCATAGAACACAACCAAGTAAAATAAATAGAAATAATGTTTTTTTTTCATTTATAATCGTTATCATAGACAACCTAATGCGACTATAAGAGGGAAAAATTTGTAGAGAACACTAAAAAAACAAGATCAGCTTTTTGAAAAAAGAAGATATTTACAAAAGATTTTGATTATATCTAACTACTGTTGTGTAGATTGTGAGTATTTCCATAATCTTTGAGTCGCCTGTAGTGCAATTGCTCGAATTTGAGCAACAGGTACACTAGTAATTGTTTTATTTCATGCCAAAACTATCTGTGGAAGATAATATCAATCTAAAACATATCTTGTCTGTTGAGACAATACTGATGCATGTTTTAGTGTTGTAGTTTAAAGATTTTTTATGTCTCCTTGATAAAAATGTGTGTTTACAGCATTGAACAATTGAATCCTATGAGATTTTAAGTGTCTACATTTTTATGTTCTTCAGATACAATCAGTGTGTACAAAAACTAACCTAACACAACTTTAAATTATGTAAATAATGCATTGCTCTCAAAGGGGTGACAAAAACACCTATTTTTGCCTTTATTCCTTTTTCTGCTGGATAATGTAATTTATAGCTGCCTGAAATTTGTCATTGCTATACCGGTACTACAATTATATTTTGCCAAAAAAAAAACTTAAATAATATGATTGTGGAAAAAACCTATGTTTATGAAACTAGGGTATTGTCCATAATTCACCTCCTGATCTGGATGGCTGTTCATATCGTTCTAATTGAACACTATTTAAAATTAACTTCTTATTCAGTGCTTATTTGAGTTTTCCTGCAATGTTTTAATCAGTTAGTGGTTTGGCATTACTATTCTCATATGCATCTCATTAAAGATTGATTCCAGAGTGAAATCAACAACAACAAAATTTCAGGCTCACAAAACTCCAAGCAGGTAGTTCTTGCTATATGTATGTGGTAGATCCGATCCCTTCTAGAAAAATGTCACACAAAAGAAAACAATGTAAAGCCAGGACTATTTATACACCACCACCAGCAAAAATCAACATACCTAATAGAAAATATGTTTTTCACTCATGTTATTTTAATAAGTGGTACTATAAATGAAACAAACAGTTTTAAGATTTTATTTTTAGGTAACATAACAATTTTTATTTAAGTTACATATACAAACATCATAATTGAATAAAATGCATGTAAAATTTCAAAATTGTCAAAACTGAGACTGAGTAGCGTGGACGGGCGTGGACTACCTATAAGTACACATGTTACACATCCAGCTCTGACTATGAAAATAGCAGACCTTCCAAATAAACAGGTTTAAAATTAAGAAACATTAACAAATTTTAATTCCCATATTACCATTGATTTCAGTACATCATACTTACTTTATATTCATTAAACTCGGATATTGGGAGTTAAAAAATACCAAAGTATAATTCATGTCACATATATTTATTTCAATCAATCATCTACAATAATAACTATTCTTTTATATTTAAAAAATTTAAATATCAAACAAAATATTATACACAATAAAATATACAATAACAGGTGAAACCAAGTAACAAATAATAAAACAAAAATTGGAATGACATTAGCAAACCTTAACAATATCAAGTTCTTCATTCGGATTCAAAAACTATAATATAGTGCATGTAAAAAGTTTGTCTTCTTACCTTATTAACAAAGTTGATGAAACTCTCAAGTTATTCTTTAAAAATCACATTTTTAAAAGACTTGAACATTTCTATAATACAAAAATAAAACAAATATAGAAAACGTTGCTAGCTGTTTTCAGACTAATTTAACTCATAATAGTTACCGTACAAAAAAAAAAGGTTTCTGATGATCACAGATTACTAATGGCACATTATCCTAAAATACAGCTCTAACTTTCATTTACTGACTATTTAGTCCTTTATTAAAATAAACTACCATTATGTCATATCCTTAAGATTTTCTCTGAAATATTCTTACAAAAGTCAACAACATTTTGCCTAGCAAATATAACAAATATATACCTAAATATATATACTTCCCAACATAAAACTGTACATGGTTTAACAGATATAATATTTACAAGATAATCTAATGACTACTAATATCATCTTCGGTTAACTTTCCCACAAAAAAAATGTATATTTAAAAAAATCAAGAGTTTTTGTTTAGAAGTTTATATAAACTATTTGTAATCCTTTAACATTGATCTGTGTTTATGATTTTGATAACTATCATTATCTGTGTTTCAAAAATAAAGAATGCTTGAAATATTTACAAAGATGTAAATTAATCATGTTTATTATAATAAATCAAAAATCAATTGTCAATTATCAATCATTGAGATGGGGACGCACACCCACTGCAACAAACCTCCACACTAAGCAAATGTTCATTTGCCTGATTTGATTTTAAGTTAAATCTAATTAAACGACATTAGTTTTAACGAGTACTTAGGTTTGCTGCTACAGGGAGGGTGGTATGTTATTTGTAGTAAAATAATAATAGCTTAGTATAAAATAATACATAAAATTGCCAAGTTTTTTGAATTTTCTCCGTAACCAATATCTGTCCAAAAACACTTCATGGTACTAAATTTTTTTTTAAGCTTTACAAAATGGTTTTGAGAGAAATTGAGAAATTTAAAGTTTTGAGGGTCAAAAATAAGAAAACCAAATTTTTACCCAATAAAACCATTCCCATGATCTCTGAAAACTCGTTCGAACAAACGTCTGTTTATACAGTTGTATCTCCATCAAAATCGGAAGATTTTTGTTCATGTTATCATGCTTGGTGCTAAAGGATACATATATTTTTATTTTATATATGAATTTGAACAGATGGTGTTTTTAAGTAAATCGGTTCCGGGTCCAGGTCTTACCATGAGCACCCGCCATAACCTACGGCCATAGCTTATTCCCTATATGGGAAATTCTCTAATAACCACACATGAGATTTGGATTGAATTTTTAAGTGATATTTCACCTTTTGAAACCCAGGGCTTATTCATTGTTTTCTATAAGCCAAATTTTATCTTGTTTTTCCTCATCTTATGAACACAAAAACACAAATTCTAAAAAAACAAGTATTTGGTACAAAGTAAAACGTCTGATCGGGACAGTAATTACAAAGAATCCACAGATAATATACCCATCCCATCTCCTTACATTCAGCTATCAATTGTTTTATTTAGGTGTATACCAGATACCCAGCTGTGGCACAGACATGTGAACTTCTCATACTAAACCTGACCGAAGACAGAATTTGCACCGATGAACTTCAGTGCTACCTTTTGGCCGGGGAGACAATGCCCTACTGTTGTGCACAGCTTTCAGACATTTCTGGTGAGTTATGTTGACACAAATAGCTGTTAGTTCATCTTTTATTATGTTAATCTTAATGTCCAATGCATCTGTCTTAGGGGCTTAAAGGGTTAAAATACATATACAATATTTACTCTGTTAAAAATTAAGTTATACCTTAACTACAAATTTTTTATCGGACTAGTTTAAATTAATGAACCTAAAATATTGTTTCTAACTTAGCATTCCTGAAGGTTTTGTTGCTGTAGGATGAAATGTATTAACAGTCCTGATGTGTCAGATCATGTTTCATGAAACCCCGTTACTTCTTGACTTGAGCTTCATGGCGATGGCTGCTGCCAATCCAGCGCCTTTGCCACTGCCGTCTAGGGCCAGGAGAAGACGACACTGAAACGATGTCAAACAAATAACATTTGTCAATCTGTGACATCACTGAATAGATGTAAGACAGTGAATTATTAATAATGCGTTGATTTTGGTCCTAAAACTACATCAAGTGCTGTACCTTCTGAAGGGGGGCCAGGATGGGGATGAATGTGTTCATCCACTGTTTCATCCGAGGGTGATGTTTGTAGAGGCTTCCGTCCACCGCCACAGTAGAGTCTGGCCTGTTCATGTGCTTCAGTAGCTCTGCACAGCCTGCAAACACATTATTTAATTATTATTATTTTCCCCCCTTTTCCTTTTTGTTTCTTCTTAATTTTATAGTGTTTAAAAATATCTTGCTTCTTGATTTGCGTATTTACTCATTTATTTTAGCGAATAACAAACAATTTTGTGTTGCCATGGAAACCGGATATCACCAAAACTCAGCTGCGGTAAGGTAAACAAACAAATCTTTTTCTGCGTTATTACTTATAAAAGTACACAACTTTTGATTTTTCTACGTAGGGAATCAATTGAACTTTATAATAGTGTTGTTATTTGGTGTCTACATTAATCTTGGAATTTGTAAATCAAGTTTACTTTCAAAAAATAGTTTTAAACATTTTTATTTTTATAATCTTTATAGTTTTTGCTTTTTTAAGTTTTACACTTTGACTATCCAATTACCACTTTTCTGTAGCTAGTTTTACTGTAAACAAAATGGTGAAAGAATTGTTAATTTATTACCTAAGGTTAGCAATTAGAGTAAAAGTCTACAAATTCGGTAAAATTAATTGCTGACAGAGGTTGCTGCAGGCAGCGCATTAATTCCTTCCCCAATGGGTTAAGTCATCGGAAATCATCACTGTTATTCTTTAAAAAAAAAACACCTGTAATACTTTTTAATTGCTCGAATTCGAGCAACAGGTGAATTAGTGTTTACTAATCTTCGTACATAATTATATAGTTTAATCTGTCTGTATTTCCTTTATGACAAAAAATAAAACATAGAAATATAGTTCACTACACGGGCAAAAAGTTACTTTTTAAAAGAGTCATATCCTAAAAGTACAAATTACAAAACTCATAAAATTTAGCTACAAAAGCCATTTTTATATCTTGTCTGCAGCAATTATCGTACAATAAGTTTTTTTTTTTATTTCACATTGTATAAAAGAAAATGAGTAATTATAAAATGGTTTACATGGGGGGTATTTTTTTTAGAAGGCAGTATGTGCCATTTTATTATACCATTTATTTTACAAATGTAACAAAAATAAATCCATAGTAGCTTCGGCTTACTTCTGTAGGTACTTACATATAGAGACAAGTAGGGCAGCCCTCAGGGAGACAATCTCGCAGATGTACTTTAATACTACAATATCCTCTTGTGTGTACTTCTGTAGGTACTTACATATAGAGACGAGTAGGGCAGCCCTCAGGGAGACAATCTCGCAGATGTACTTTAATACTACAATATCCTCTTGTGTGTACTTCTGTAGGTACTTACATATAGAGACAAGTAGGGCAGCCCTCAGGGAGACAATCTCGCAGATGTACTTTAATACTACAATATCCTCTTGTGTGTACTTCTGTAGGTACTTACATATAGAGACAAGTAGGGCAGCCCTCAGGGAGACAATCTCGCAGATGTACTTTAATACTACAATATCCTCTTGTGTGTACTTCTGGCCGTAACTTTTAAGGATTTCTTCAGTTTTTAACGTCACATTGTTTATGCAGTCTCTAAAACAATACAAGAATATCTATGAATATAAAGATCTTGGTTATTTGTATCTTAAAGGGTTGTGTATACATAGCCAATAACTGACTGACTGATTCACAGCTTAAAAATTTTGCCCCACTAGTGGTGATGATAATTGTTAGCTTTGCTAGTATTTCACTTTTTCGCTTGTTGTTGTAAACATGTTTGAGATAAGTGGTATGGATAGTCTTGTGTCCACTACAGCCCAGTGAATTAGCTCCTTACTTGCTGTGTACAAGATATTAATGCGCTATTTGCTTAACTTTTAAAAGAAAATGTACTAAAGAGCCCTTTTAAACAATTATACCTTTAAATAGGGTAGTGCGTATAGAGTCTTACACTACCAAAGTATTTGAGGCAACTTCAAGTTATTTTCTCCCAATCCACTTTGGGTCCCGTAAATTAGTTTTTTAAGTTTATTTTCATAACTTTGTAAATCAATTCTTAAATCGTTCACAAATTTGTCTCAGAATACAGTTATTTAAGAAGAAGAAACTTAAAGAACAAAAAGGTGTTTACTGTTCATCTTATTTCCACAACTTATTAGTGCTGACAATGAATGCTAATAACTAGTCCCTGTATAATAGAAAGTAGACGTATTTGCACTAGTGTGCTTAACTTGCGCTAATAGCTAACATTTGCAGCTTGTAAATTATCTTAGAGTACACAGGCTTTTAGGTAGCTAGAGCACCACAGGCTATGAGGTGTATCTGGTTCTCCAAACCACGTGTTTACTAAAACCACAAAATGAAATACACTTGGTTGCTCAATTCTATCTCACAGTCCTTAGTTCTAGTAACAAAATGAACACTTTGGATCCCAACAAAGATTTTAAGTTATAGGTTGAATGATGAATACACAGACTTAATACACTACACCTAAATGAACAGTTATTTTGATTCAGAATAAATCTTATACTCACTCTTCAATGCTGGAAACATTTGCTGTGGTGAATGAGTTAGGATCTTGAAGTTTTTTGCTAAGTTCTCCATTGAAAATTAAATTAGATTTAGCAAAGTCCAATAATATAACTCTGACAATTTCACCCATGTATTTTCCGGAAATGTATTTTTCAAACCTGAAATAAAATAAGTTATAGTATCTGGTATATTAGAAAATCTTCAAAATTATTTACAACTAGGAAGGGTTTTAATGACTAAATTGGATTACAACATTCTAAAGATTGTTTTCCTCTGTGTTATCTTCGTTATTTAGACATTGTTTGAAGGTACTTAAAAAATGAAATACTGTAAAATTGCTTTTAGTCAATTGGACCTCACAGACTGAGGCCAAGCCGATGTAATGAGATATATTTGAATTTTGAATCAGGTTGATTTAAATACTGTATATGATTTAATAATGCTTTTTATCATTTATAATTATTTATGCATTTTTTTGTTTGTTTTTTTTTTTGTAGCTGGGGTTACACCCCTGCCTGCCTTCCCATAACCATAGTCACTTCACTCCAAAACCCACATAACCAAACCAACACACAAAAGTTGCAATATATGAGTGACAGCCACTGACAGGTCAGGTGCATTTGCGTTGTTGCTGAAAACGGTGCAGTGTAATTCTAGAAGCTTGTTTAGTTGAAAGTAATAAGTTTCAGGATTATTGTTATAAGAACGCAAGAACAAGAATGGGCATCCACATACAACGAAAGAGGGCTGCCAGGCTGCCACTTATGAAGGAAGGTATGTGTCATATGCTTAAATAATCAGATGATTATTGTTGTTTTTATTTGTTATTGTTTACATTTATCTTTGAATTGAATTAGTTCTAGAATAAAGTTTTACCAATTAATTTACGTGTATTTTGTATATTTTATGAAGATACATCAATGGCGACGAGTGATAAAAGTGAAACTAGAAAATTAAAACAACAAAGAGGAATCATAAAGTCTCAAATTACAAGGACTTTACATGTGCTGAAAACCAAAGGTTCATCTATATACGATGCTTTGGGCAGACAAACTCTACTGGATGAAACGTGGAAAAGATTCACTTTGTTACATGAAGAGATTATAACAACTACAGATGATGAAGATGAAATTGAAAGAGAAGAAGATTACCGTACAGATGTAGAGGAAACATACCTCGAGCCAAGAGCTTTATTACAACCATTCTTTGTCACTATTAAACAAACAGGAGTAGAGAGGAATGTCTCTAGTGAAGGAAATAATCCGCATAAGTTGAACATACCGAATGTGAGTTTCACACCTTACACGGAAAATGAAACCTTTCAGAATTTCCTAATGCGGTTTAGAAATTTCTTGGACCTAAAACAAATCACAGAGTCAAAAACCAAAACACAACTGTTTCTTAGTACTCTTACACCCGAAATGCATCAGGCATTATGTGACGTGATTGCTCCCGAGGCACCAGGTGACAGATCGTTTGAAGAGCTTTCAGATATACTGCAAAACTGTTTGGAACCTACTCCAAGTGTACTTGCTAACCAAAATAGGTTCATCAGTAAAGTTCAAGATACTGAAGAGGGAATTTCTACGTACGCTCGAGAACTAAAACGTTTGGCAATTGACTGCGATTTTAAGTGTTACAACTGTGAACGTTCAGTTTGTGATATGTTCTTGAAGATGCAATTCATTCGAGGATTAAGAGATAATGAAGTGAGAGTTAGGCTTCTTCAAGAAAAAGGAAATACACAATCATTTAAGGAAGTGGTAGAAATGGCCATTTCTATTGAACAGTCCAAACTGGAAAGTTATGCAATAAAACCTAAGTACTCTCATTATGTTACAGAACAAACTAAGGATGTTAACTATGTGAGTAAACAATCTGGGTTAACAAGTAAGAGTAGAAATGAAACCAAACCGCATATTACCTGTCAAGATTTAAGAGGTAAATGTTACAGATGCGGCAGTACTCAACATAAAGCTGATACTTGCAAATTTAAAAATGAATTTTGTATGAAGTGTAACAAGATTGGACACATTGCGAATGTTTGTCTTACACGCAACAGGGTTAGCAATGCAAGTGAGAACGCTTACAAGTTGAAATCAAATAAAATTGATGTTGAAGATGATAATGACAACGTTCATGAGGTTTACATGATGGGTACACCAAACGTGAATGACAAGTTTATAATTAATGTTTCTATTGAAGGCAAGTCATTGAATATGGAACTTGATACTGGAGCGGCTTTGAGCTCATTATCATACAGTGATTTTCTTAAACTTGAACTTAATAAACGTCTATTCAAGACGGAAGTGGAAATGAGAACATACACTGGAGAAATTATAAGGCCTGTGGGAGTCTGTTTTGTTGAATGCAAGTACAGAAATTTCAGTTTTCATGGGAAGCTCTATGTTTTAAAACAAAACGTAGACCCAATTTTTGGACGTGAGTGGCTCCGAGAAGTCAAGATGGATTGGGCTGACATAAAACTTACAGATACTAACACATCAGAGGAACTTGATAAACTCCTAACAAACTTTCAAGATATTTTCAAGGCAGAAATCGGTGAAATAAATTCAGAACAAGGACATATATAGCTTAAGGAAGGGGCAAAACCAATTTTCGTCAAACCACGACAAGTACCTTATGCTCTAAGGAAAGCTGTTGAAGATGAGCTACATCGACTAGAGAACAGTGGTATAATCTCTAAAGTTGAAAACTCACAATGGGGAACACCGATTGTTCCCGTAAAAAAGCCTAATGGAAGTGTAAGGCTCTGCGCTGACTACAAGGTAACAGCAAACAAACTAATATTAGATGAGAAGTACCCTATCCCTCGCATTGAAGACATCTTTACACACATGAACAAAGGGAAATTTTTCTGCACCTTGGACATAAGTAATGCCTATTTGCACCTTCCAAAATGGATGAAGAATCAAGAGAAATACAAACCATAAGTACTCATTTAGGTTTGTACAAAGTAAACCGCCTAATGTTCGGCATAAAAGTAGCGCCAAGTATATGGCAACGATTTATGGACAAGGTTCTCCATGGACTAGAAGGCACTGCATGTTTCTTTGACGACATACTTATTCAAGGGACCACATTTCAAGAAACTATGAGTCGACTAAAAGAAGTTTTTCAAAGAATTAGACAATACAACTTACGAATGAATCGGGACAAATGCAAATTCTTCAAGAAAAGTGTAAAGTATTTAGGTCATGTTATAGACGAGAATGGCCTTCATAAATCACCTGAAAATGTTGAAGCAATAAGTAAAGCAAAGAGACCCGAAGATGTTACTCAACTAAGAATTTTCCTAGGACTCACAAATTACTACACACGATTTGTGCCTTACATGTCAACCTATCTGGAACCATTAAACAATCTACTAAGACATGGAAAGAAGTTTACATGGAATAAAGAGTGCGAAGATGCCTTTGTGAAGATCAAAGCTGAAATAACCAGTGAACGAATATTAGCTCATTATGATCCGAGTGAAGCATTGGTACTTGCTACAGATGCGAGTCCAACTGGCTTAGGTGCTTGTTTATCTCACAGATATCAAGATGGATCAGAGAAACCAATAGCATTCGCCTCAAGGACTCTCACAAAAGCAGAAAGAAAGTACAGCCAAATCGACAAAGAAGCTGTAGGAATTTACTGGGGTTTGAAGAAATTTTTCGCCTATTGTTATGGAAGACATTTTGTTCTAATAACAGATCACAAACCCCTCGTTTCCATTTTCGATCCTGCAAAAACCTTACCTTTAATGACAGCTTCGAGAATGTTTAATTATGCTCACTTTTTATCAGGATTCGATTACACAATTGAATACCGCAATACAACAGAACACGCTAATGCAGATTTCTTATCTCGATTTCCGGTCACTGAGGTTCCAGAAAATGTAATTGATGATCACGAGCAGTACCTGATAAACCAAGTGGAAGCAATGCCAGTGACAAGAAAAAAGATTGAAGAGGAAACAAGGAAAGATGAAAATCTCAAAGTGATATTACACTATTTAAACACAGGGAAGAGTTTAAAAGAACTTGGATTAAGTGACAACGAGTTTTGCTTAATGGATGGCTGTGTGTTCAGAGGGAATAGAATCTGTGTACCTTTAACATTAAGAAAAGAAGTTCTAAACGAGTTGCATGCCGGTCATATGGGCATGACGAAGATGAAACTTCTGGCTAGAAGTTACTGCTATTGGCAAAATATTGATCAGGAGATAGAAAATTTAGTCAAACATTGTTATTCATGCCAACAGAAACTCAAAAGTCCACCTAAGGAAACGATCCATCCATGGGAACCTCCAAGTGGGCCATGGGAACGTATTCACGTAGACTTTGCAGGACCACTAAAAGGCTGGAGTTACTTCATTGTTGTCGATGCTTACAGTAAATGGGTAGAGGTGATCCCGACTAAATCGGCAACAACTGACTGGTGCTTAAAACAACTAGACAAACTATTTGCAACATTTGGTTTTCCTCATGTCCTCGTTTCAGACAAAGGGACTCAGTTTACATCAACTGTGTTTGAAAATTACCTCAAGAAGTATCAAATAACACATAAAACCATTGCTCCTTTTTGTCCGAAATCTAATGGTCAAGCAGAAAGGGTAGTTCAAACGGTGAAGAACCTCTTACATGCTTGTGGGGGAGGACACAATGAGGATAAGATAAACATGATACTGAAACAGCTGAGGAAGACACACCATTCGGCGACAGGACAATCTCCATACTTGCTTATGTTTGGAAGAAACATAAGAACCGAAATGGACTTAATGGTCGAGACTAAACCTACCCCGCAAAATAAAAGTCAAGTTATAACTAGAAGAAGTTTCTCAAAGGGACAAGGTGTATTGATGAGAAATTACTCAAACGTCTCAGGAGAAAAGTGGTCAACAGGAACAATCGAAAGGCCGCTTGGGCATGTGATGTACCTCGTTAAATCAGAAGACGGGCGGTTATTTAAGAGACACTGCGACCAACTAAGAGCAGCTTAATAGGGGGGAGGATTGTCATATGCTTAAATAATCAGATGATTATTGTTGTTTTTATTTGTTATTGTTTACATTTATCTTTGAATTGAATTAGTTCTAGAATAAAGTTTTACCAATTAATTTACGTGTATTTTGTATATTTTATGAAGATATATCAGTATGTTATTTTGCTTTTTTGAATCTAGCAATCTTTCAACAATTTTAAATAAATAAATCATTTATATTTCCTTGTAAGCTAGTTTAAACTTATGAAGAACTACTACAAAAATTCAAACCGTATACATACGTAAATGAGTTTTTAATTAATGAGTTGTTGTCAACTTGTCTGTCGTAGTCAGTCTTGATGAAGTCTATTGTTCCATTGTCTCCAAACGCTCCCCACTCTGTGTCAATTATGATCTGAAATTATATTTTGTTGATTTAAATACTTAAAAACAAACGTCCAGTTTCCTTATAATCAAATTCATTGCAGTTAAAGTCAATTAAAATAGTATACGGAATGAAAACCATAAATAAACAGTTGTGTGGTGCCAATAAAGTATCGTTGCTCTACTGGCCTTGTCATAAGGTTAGCTCATGTTCATGCCACTTATGACAGTGACACACCATCAATCTTTTCTCCGATCAAGACACCGAACCGAGCAGGGAGAGGGGAGGTGGAAGGGAGCAGGTTCGATAGTGTGTCTGGGGTCCGTATGACAATCCAGACATCGGCATATGGCAATTACCCTTTTTAATTGGTAAAATAGATAAATTGTGGATAACATTTTGTCATTATATACTATGGGTCATGTTGTAATTTTTTCCCTCAAGTTTGAAAATGTATTTTACAACTTGAAACCATTAAATCAATGATATTGTTGAGGTTAAATCTGTGGACCTTATTAAATTATAAGACTTACTCTTCAAACAAACAATACTTTATTTTATAACATTAAAACACATACAAACTTGTACAACTCATAAGCACATTTTTTTTCTCCAACATAACAAGTATAGGCAAGTTGCTATGCCAACATAACAACACATTTTATAAACATGAAACAGTCTTTAGTTACACATAGAATAATAAATAATTGAGTTAGGGTATATTTTGATATATTTTTATATTGCTTCATCAGATATCAATAATGTTAAACTTGAATCCTTATAAATAATACGTGAAGGCGTTTTCTACGAAACACTACTCCTCCGTTAACAATGGACGGATTATTACAAACGATGTGTCAAAATTAAGTATTTTTTGTGTAGAATAGATTTTTTGCCAATTCCTGTAATAAAAGCTCTCGGGCTTTGCCCCACAAGCCATCAAAGTCCCAATGTATTTCTTATGATGAAAAGTTTTTGTTTACTTAAACAGACAAATAATTAGTATTAATTACAGCTGTTCGTAGTTAACACATGATACACACAAGAGCGTTCGTTTTCAGAGTGAGTTCGTTTCCAGTTTCGATAACTGGAGTGGAGTGATTGATCACATTATCTTTGAGTTGACTCTTTTAAGTCATCACAAATTTTATTCGTTTTGAAATAACGCCTGCAATACTTAACAATGGCTCAAATTTGAGCAACAGGTGAACTAGTTATGTAATAATACTTAAATTCTTTCAAAATTAATATTATCAGTCAATTAAAATGATCGTTCTGTTATATATTATTTTATTGAATAAAAATCAATACATATAACTGAGCCCTCTTTTTAGAATATTTTATTTTAGCGACAAGTACCACTCCACTGCACTGCCTCTCGCGCTCTCACTCACACACGCTCTCTATCTCTCTCTAAACTCCCTTTTACCGCGCTCGTTAGAATTTGTCTGGTCTTGGTCTTGATCGGAGAAATTTTAGGAGTAAAATTTTGCTGATATTTACCTCCCTTCTCCCTGCTCGGTTCGGTCTTGATCGGGTAAAAGATCGATACCGGTAGTGTGCCTTTAGTAGTTGGTAAAACATTATCTATTATTAAAATTATTTAATCAATCTTAGATGAAATAATAATTTTCATTTCCCATGTTAGGCATTAGAAGAGGGCCACAATTATACAGCCAAGGGTTGACAGTCAAGGTTATGAATGCATTTACAGCATATACAGTACCTACACACAACGAAGGCCTCCTTTAAACTGTGTTTAAAGAAATCCTTTGAAAATATGTATTCCGTATAACCATTAAGTAATGTTCACACAAGTATTATACAGACATTCTAGTGAGTACCTCTCTCTCGCCATGGCGCTCAGTCTCCCAATGCTGCACTCTGTCCGCTCTCTCCAAGTAACACGCGTTGCTGCCAGTGCCGATGATGAGACCGATGGTGGTGCGGTGATCCAGCAAAGCTCCTTGCAGCAGTGTGCCTGTCAATCAACACACAATCTTTATCATTACTATTCATCTTCAGATTAAATGATAGAGGATGACCAAGTTAAGTATGGTTTAAAACAATTTTAGATTCAGTTTTCACATCACCCATCATGGCTTATCTACCTGAAACAATAATGTGATATCTTGCAGAAGAAGCAAGCTATTGAAATTACTTGTTTGGTTACTAAAACTATGTGATGAATAACTAGGAAGAAGTCATGACAAAAATATAAGTAAACCACAATTTAATAGAAATTTGAGCATTTATTATAGCTATTTACTTTACAAGTGTAGTAAGAGCGTTTTTACATCACGCAGGTGAAGGTTGTGCAACGAGCGGAAGCGAGTTGCATAATTTACCTAAGTGATGTATAAACACGCTCTTGCGTAACGTGTAACGTACAAGATTTTACCTGACCCGACAATATACAGGAGGTTACGAACAATATTAATCATTATCCATTTCACTCATCTTCTAACAGTAACGTTCATTTACAAACAAAAGCTAGGTTAGGAAAATTCTTCAAAACATAACAATAAAATTCAAGAGCACAGCTGATTTCTGGCGTTGAACGTCGTTGGCTCCATAGAGGTATATTTTTTAAGTTAATCACTCAATGTTATTTAAATGGGTTTCATTACATCACCGAGTGAGTTTTTGATACTTTACATCACTCGAGAAGTAAGGAAGTTGTATACATCACGCTTGGGATAGGGAAGTTTAACATGGCGGGTTAGGTAAATTCATTTTATTCATCAACTCAACTGCACAAACATTATCACGCCTAATTATACTATTATTACACCATTACCAATGCCATATTATGCCATTATCACTACATGTTTTGGATTTGAGTGTTTAACGCCGACAAGTCTATTATTTGCAATGAAGGTGTGTTGTTCTCATGTGTTGTGTGAAGATAAAACCTGTGTGTTCTGAATTTGTGGTTTCCAAGTAGACATTAGCTAAAGAAACATGTTTAAAGACTCCTAGTCAGTAGTGACTCACCAGTAGTGTCGTTCAGTATAGCCACCACCTCTACATGGTTGTCTCCTCTCCTCTGCATAGCTTCTCTAAGCAGTCTCACTGTGTCCTCCCCCTCCACACCAGAGGTTGTGAAGCTCTTGGTCCAAGTGACCAGTATCCCTGATGAGAGACTCCTCTGGTGCATAGGGAACGAAAATGTGAAACCTAGATATAAAAAAAAAAGTATGTTAGGCGATGTACAATTAAAGACACTGGGATAAAAATGTATAGTTACTGATTTGATGCTTAGGACTATAGAACACCCACATTTCTCAATTAATATTTTCTGTTTTAGTATGGGCTGGAATTCAATGTGAAGCTGAGCCCAATACAATTTTTAGTGACATACAATGAACACAATTCACCTTTAACGTTTCATTACTATTCATAAGATTGAGTTGTGATGGGTTAATCAGCTAGGAATTCACAGTGGTAAAGGATCAACATGATCAACCGCTATGAGACTGTTATGAGAAGGAAGCAAACTGAACCAGGTCCTTGATCTCAATCAATTACTTTTAGTATACAGTATTTATTTTGAGAAATTAAATTAGAAAAATTAGTAAATCAAACAAACAAGGTATTTTTTTTTATCTGAAAGAACCCTGAAATGCAGAATAATTTTAGTCACAAATTGACAAGGTCGATCCACAAATATTTTAGGAATAGAGTACCGTGCCGCTCTATTCCTCAAAACTAATAATTATTGACCCAACTAATAATTATTCTATTTTACACAAAATAATAATTGGCCATTGGCAGTCATGACCTACCTTCTACCGGTGCCGCATGTGTCCGATGTTGTTTTTATGTATTTGTGTTTTGGCCAATTTAATGTTTCGTGTACGTGTGTTATTTGTGAACTTTCAACCTCATGACGACCATTTCATGGATGGGATAAATCAATGAAACATTGACCCGAGGATGTGTTTATAAACGCGAAACAGCTGTAGTCAAACAACTACAATCGAGGATCACTTGACGGATACAGGTAATTTAAACCTTTTGTTGTAAAAATCAGTGATCCAGAGGCTATAACATAAAAATGAAACTGAGTTATGTTTAATTATAGTGGTTTACCAAGGTCTTACCTAAGGGCAGTGTTTGATCAGCAAGGTTGTGTTCGTGAACAAACGAGGAGATGCATTCAGCAATGAAGTCAAACAGCTTGAGTCCACAGCCTAGCCTGAGTTCATCATCAATGTGATAGTGCTTGGACTGCTCCTTGACTATACGGCCCTTGTGAAGTACCAGGTGAAGCACCCTGAAGTTGGTACCTCCCAGGTCTAGGGCTAGGAACTGACCTTCCTCTGAAAACATAATTACAATAAATACTGGGTTTGTCTGAATGGGAAAGGACCACCTTGTCACCAACATACAAAATAAAAGTAAAAATATTCTAATTTGTGTACATCATAACTTAGTTTTGTGTTTGTTGTGCAAGTGTGGATTCCTTCTCATTTTCTGGCAAGTTTTTGCTATCATAATAGTAAAAACTTAAAAAACCTAGGTTTGGAATCTGAGCTGTTGACAGGTAACATCACCATTTGAATAACTAGACGGAGAATTACCAAAGTGATGAATTACTGAAAAGTGTAGTGATTTTAACTTTTTTATAATTAACAGTGATATAGAGCTACTGATATCAGGTCAGAAAACAAATTCTTATATTAGGTCTATTGATATTTAAAACTAGTTTAGATGCAAAATAATCATTAACTAATTTTTTGGGCTGCAGTTTTCTTTATAGAATCTTAAGACTACTACCATTGACTGTTTATATGCTACTACATCCTGCAAATATTGTTGCTTTTTAACTTGCTGTAGGTGCACTCTAATGATCAGATGGATAAAAGTTGTATCTTTACCAAATGTAGAAACAAATATATAGCCTGTAACGAATTTGAACGGATGGAAAAGTATATTGGTCACAGGTCTTACCATAAGACTTTATGGTAATAGATTATTATACACTATTTGGGAAACTCGCTAAAAGGGGCAAACCTGCTCAAACAACAGTGATACCTTTGGTTGTAAACTTGATCAGTAATATCATTGCAATACCGTATCCCACTTTAAAATTTAATAGTGAAACCTGTTTAACTGTTTTTGTTTACATTTTATATTATCAGAGCTACACTAAATAAATTAACAAATCAACTAGGTAAGTGTAGGGATAGAGTTCCTATGTCATATAACTGGTATGTTCTGGTATGTTTAACACTGCCAATGTGTACAATCATAGATTAAAAGAAGTAGACACAGAAGTAGACACAGAAGTAGATTTAGAAGTAGTGTCTATACTCCTTTTATCTATGGTACAATGTGCAAGGAACACTGTATGTCTTATAATGCAACACTAAAGCACTCACCATCTGTCATGAATCCTCAGGAAAGCACAAAGAATATGTTAAATGAAAGTATTAGTCGATAATTAATAACTATTGTAATAACATCAACATTTTAATCTTTCAATACGGTACCTGAACAATCCCAACCCAACGCTGGTACCTAGGCATAGTGTTTTGAACACAGTGATTTGATAGAGTGTGAATAATATCCACAAAATAATATAGTTAAATATCGTGCAGAAGGCTTTCTGGCATGTTATTTTAACAATATACAGAATGCAATTGCATTAAACCAAAAGTAGTTGTCATAGACGTAATAAAATTATAGCCAGTCAATGGCTTTAATTTTAAATTGATTATCAAGATAGTTGTTTACGGCTAACTTATTTGTAATATTTATTTGTTTGTGCTAAAAAAAAAGTGCTAAAACTACTCATAAGGATTACACTGAACTTATGAAATCTCTTAGGGTGAAGCCTTAAGCACATTTTTGAAATAGAGTGGGTAAATCGTTTGAGGTAGGTAGGTAAATAATTGTCTAACATCAGATTATAAGTGTGGAAGTTTGTGTGTTCGTTTGTTTGTGTGTTTATTTGTTTGTTTAAAGTTCAATCACGCTTTAGCTACTGGTCAGATTGGGCTGACATTTGGTATGATGATAGCTCACATTCCCGATTAACATATAGACACATTCTTATCACAAAAATCCTTTGAGGCTCCGCCCCAGTGGCTCTGGAGTTTCCCATGTTAATCTTATGAGTATTCATATTCAAAAGGGATTAAAGAATTTTGTCAGCTGTTTCAATTACATAAGTTGTTCTATGATATCCAATAGCATTAAAAGTTAATTTGAACCAAGCCGCAACAAAAAAGCTGTGATGCACAATGAGAACTGTTAAAGTATGATTGTTTACAGTTAAGTCTATGTTTTAAATTTATAAATAACTAGCAGAGTACCCGTCCTTCGTACGGGGTTGGCATATAAGTATAAAATGTGTATTGCAGTTATGCTCAAGCTTTCTGTTTGCAATGGGGGAAGGACACAGTTTGATAACATTTGCTTCTTTAAATTTAAGGTATACTATAGTATTACACATCTACCATATAGCCATAATGTTCTACCACTAAAAATAAATTATTAAAAATTCGCAAAATATCACAAATTATTCATGAAATTAAAAACATAAACATAACTGTAATCAATCCTTCTATTACAGTTCTCATCGCGTATCACAGGTTTTTTTTGTTTCTGCTTATATAGTTCAAATTATATTAGCTGTTTTCATAAATGCAAAAATATAGTGCTGCACCCTGTTGCAAAATTTTTTAATCTTTAAAGCTTTTGCATATCATACACAGAACAAACCTTTTTATTTGAAACAGCTGACTAAATATTTTTATTCCCTTTAAATATTAATACTTGTAAGGTTAACATGGGGAACTACAGAGCCACTGGGGCGGAGCCTGAAAGGTTTTTTGAGATAAGAATATGCCTATGTTAATCGAGAATGTATCAAGAATCAAGAATCAAGAAGTTTATTCACCATTAAGTAATACATGATTACAATAGGCTTCATCAGTTATTCATTGAAAGACAGTACCAAGATAATAATAATAACAATAAAATAAAATAAAATAAATATAGATTAAAAATAGTAACAACAAAATAAATAAACAAGACAATAAAACGTTTACAACAACAACAACAAGACATTCGAATACTCATAGTAAATAAAGGACCCAACACTTAGTTTACACTTTAGGCCTACTTATATCACATTCTAAAAATTCCTTTACAGAAAAAAATTTGTGACTAATAAGCCAATCATGGATCTTATTTTTAAATGATTTTAAATCTAACAACTTAAATGATTCTGGAATTTTTGTTAAAAAAATTTATTTGTTGATATTTGTGACTCTTTGCATGTAAGCTATCATCATGCCAAATTTCAGCCTAATCCATTCAGTAGTTAATGCGTGATTGAACTTCAAACAAACAAACACACAAACTTTCACATTTATAATATTAGTAAGATGTTTAAAAAATGTGCAAATATTCGATAATTTACTTTTTTATTGTTTAGGTGTAGTGGTAGAACATTATGGCTATGGTATATGTGTTATACTATAGCTTCTGTAAATTAAAGGAACCAAATTTTCTCAAACCGTGCTTTGGGTTTGCAATGGAAGAGATATTGCAAACACAAAGCATGAGTATAACTGCAAAAAGCATTTTATACTTATACGCCAGCCCTGTACGAAGGACGGGTATTCTGCTAGTCAAATATAAATGCCTAAAAAAATCATGCTACGGCTACTTATGCCTCCAACATAGCTTATTTCCAAACTCGAAGGAATGCAAAACTTTTTCAAATACTGTACTTTTTCAAACAAAACAAAAAGTTATCATCATGTACAACATTCAAAAGCCTACAAAAAGATATGTATGCTGAAGTTTGTTTCCACATTTAGCTAAGCCCGACTGTACCTGTGCCGTCGGGTAACTCCGGGATGTAGGTGTTCTCCATGAGGAGAGAGGAAGGCTTGTCCCGGATGCCCAACTCCAGCTCCTTCAGGAACACCTCCCCAATCCTCAGCACTGTAGGCCCGTCTATGTGGATCCCTTTCAGCTTCTCATCAATCTGTGACAAAAGGCAATGTCAAAGTAGGGTCAGATACTAACCAAGGGATTTTGGTGTTAAAGTTAGAAATATTAATAAAGACTTCAATGTTTGGTTGCATTTTTTTATTGTTTTGTTCCTCTCTCATGGTAGAAGAAACTTTTGCAACTTGTGAAACAAATGAAGTAAAACTTATAGTTTTCAACAGTTTTAAGAACTTAATAAATTAAAACGTTGGGGTATAACAGAAATATTGGTACACTCTTAAAATAAAAAATGATTTGTTGATTTGTCTCAGTATAATTAATCATATTTAACATTTGAACTTAAGCACTGAGACAAAAAGATACCACAAAGTTACTCATAACAATTTAAAAGTATAGAAAGGACCGTTGACTATAACTAAAACTCCAATGCAGTTCAACCATTAAAAATGTATGGTCTTTTCCCTGAATATTTTGAAGTTCCAAGAATGTAAATATTTAAATGAAGAAAGTATGGCAGCAAGTGGAATATACAAATACCTTGCAGTAATTAAATATTCTAGTAGCGAAATATTTGTACCCTACTGTCAGTGTATACAATCTTAATGAGCTATTAAAATGTCAATGAACTGCTGGGTGGATTTTAGTGTTGCACAATCAAAACTCTCAATCTTTTACAAGCTTAAGTAGTTAAACACCCCTTCTAATTATTAAAAAAAATACAAATGTATGCAGTACAACATAAAATATACAAAATAAATCAAGCATGATGTCAACATATACTCAATATATAAAACAACTAAAGAGAATAAATGTATGATTTTACTGTATTGAAAAGATTTCATTGCCAGAGCAAACACTTTTATGCTTAGAAATTCGAGTTGTAGAAAGATAGATGATTGAATTGCAATTGCATTGCTATTTTCTGATGGTGTATTCCTGGCAATGGATTGTTTGATCCATGACCTTCACTTGACCTGGTCAGTTTGTCCACATCAGTGGGGTTGGCGCAGTCAATTCCATATCTTAGGCTGGTTACCAATCAAATAAAACACTGATCATTGATCATGTCTCAATAACCTGTCATCATGTTCTCTACTAATATCCTTAATAGTTTTATTTAAAACATATGAAAGCATAAACTGGGACTTTAAAATGTAACAAAGTAGGCCTATGTAAATTAACTAATTGTTTTTCACCACACTATGATGTTTTAGATGTTTTACATATATGTTAATTGGTGGCTGAAAGTTACGTTTTGCTCGCCATGCCAGCTGTCATCGTCATTTGGGGACCGAGCAGGTTTTTACATCCCTAGGGACGCAAAATCAGCTGCCCGCTTACTTTCTTAAAACATGAATGCATATTAAAGACACAATCAGTATCCATATAGCATTGCAATATAATTGATTTATTTTCACCGCTGCCTAGCAACTATCAATTATTGTTATTTTTGCTCATTCCTCAAGTTATTTCTTCACATACCTATCTTTAAAGTTGTAGTTCTGTTGACTGTTAGTGTGCATTATTATTGTGGTGAATAGTGGTAATAGGATATCGTGTGCTGAAAGATAGCGTTCGTACCACGGACCGAAATGGTTTTTCAGCTCTCAAACGTTTTAAGTTACCTATCTAAAGATTGCAGAAACTAACTAACGTAATCATCAAAAGCTGCAGGGTAACAGTCAACAAATTATCAAAACTGATAATAATGTATTCAATAAATTGTATATATGACTAAGTAACATTTAAAACAGTGTAATTTCCAACTGAAATTACTAATATCGGATGTTAAAACTTTTATAACAACAGCAATAGTTGGATTGTTAGATGTTGAGAGATTCGTCTACATGTCGTTTGTAGTTGTGGAGAAGCTACTGACACAACTTAGCCTAGTGATTATTCAAAGCCAAATGCTTATATCAACCAGTCTGTTAATTCTCACCAATTCATGGCCACGACAAAGAGTTCCCATTTGCTTTCATTATACAAGTGCCAATTTCGTGTTTATGAATTGACCTTAAATTGTAACATGTTTATGTAAATTGTACGGTTTTAAAGGTGGATATGGGATTTTGATTATTTGTGAGCCATTTACAAGAAAAGTGCCTCGGCATTTTCAATTGTTTTTAGAGAATTTCCTTTTCCCATAGGCCTACAGGGAATGTAAAATAAAAATGTAAAAACGTCAATCTAATCCAAGTTAACTCCACTTTAGTGAAGAACAAAGCTAAAAATACAGTTATAAAACAAGGGGCACGGTAAAAATGCTGTATCGGATAGTCATGCGTATCCAGTTTATGCGTATTTCATAACGTTAATTTTGTTTTGGTTACTGTATCACATCACATGCTTAGACATTTTTGCAATTATATGATCCGAGATGGTGTAAAAGTCATAGCTTCTAAAATATAAATGTTCAAAACAGTATCCTACAACCAAAGACACTACAAAACATCATCTGAAGTATTGTGTGAGGAAGTCGTATCATGACCGGCGTTTGCACCAATGAAATTCAACAATGTAAACATTAATTCAAAGCAAGTTGGGAGTTTAAAGTCGAGTGAAGAAGGTCAAATATTGTTGTGAAGGATAAATTCTGCTCAAGGTCTGCGCTGGCGTCAACAGCCTGATTAGCGATCGCGCGTCGCGTCGTCGCGAGCTACAACTCTCTGTCACTGCCAAGGCGAGGGCGACACTGGCTCACGTGAGGGACCACAGGCTCCTGGCTGACTGTGAAATAACCTTTAAACTCCCGTGTCATGAACAGAAGGCTCGGATACTTGTTCAGAAGTTCAAATGTAATTTGAATCTCGGCGGGCCTCAACACTTTTCAATGCAAACCAGTATGTTGTTCAAGTTACGTGATAATTCATCAACCCGATGTTCTAATGGTTTGATACATGCGTCCTTGGTGTACTGAACATGCGGTGACGTTGAACTATTTTATTGCTGCGTGATCGGCGTGGAAATGGAATAGGAATGGGTTCAAAATATACTCCAAGGACGTGTGGGGGTAAGGGTGAAATTAACCTCAATTTGATATTTCAAATTCAGTGTTATTTAAATAGGTACCAGTAATCAATACAGTATTTAAAATGTCATACTTTGAAGAAACGTTAATAAAATGCAGCACATATTTTTATATTACTTGAAACCCGCATTGCTGTAGTATTTCCTACTTAGTGAAGTAGTAGTAGATAAAAAGTAAAATTATGTACAGTATTAACGAAAAAAAAACACAAGTACCTTGTTTGGCTTCAAAAAGATTTTAAGCTATCAAATCTGGATCAAAATAAAAGTAAAAATTTAAGTTGAATTTAGAAAGGTAAACAAGCTTTAGAACCTCTAACGCCGCAGTTGGCTTTCTTCCAACACATTCCTCATCAGTATCCAGTCTAGCTAGAGTGCCTCGTGCCGACTGCAAGTCTCTCTCTCTCTCTCTCTCTCTCTCTCTATCTCTCTCTCTCTCTCACTGTACTGGACCAATCACTTAACCAGCCTTAAACCAAACCTTATTATGAACGAAAAAAGAGTTTACGAGAGAATAAAGGGTACGTTATTGGCACTGAATAGTAAGATGTTGAATAAGAGTAGGTTTACGAACCTTTAATAGGTAAAATAAAATAAAATACAATTTAATGACAAGGACCTATGCAAAGTCAAGTTCGATATTGGTAACACTTTTCTTTTATTGCTAGGTACTTTTATATCATTGACTATTGGATACTTAATAGTCAAAGGTAATATCGAAGAGAATAAATAGAAGACATGAATTTACAGAAGGAGTAGGAGCAGTTGATTCGCTGCTTGATATGAAAACAAGAGTGAAATACTCTGGTTTTCAATTTCAGTACGTTTTAGGGCTTATGTGGATATTTCGGGAGCGTTTGACTTGACCCTGCAAGGTGGCCATAAAATGACAGAGTGCTGCGAGCATTGTGATGTGTGAACATCTACCGACTGGCAAGGGACTACTTCCAGAACAGAACGGTGACGCTATAAACTGGCAATGGAGAAGTGGAGCAAGATCATCACGAAATAATGTTCACTAGGATCAGTGTTACACCCTTTTGTTGTGGAAGGTCTTGTTTGGAGGATTTCTGCGGTTGCCGTTCAAAAAAATATTCTTGCAAGAGCCTAAATGGACGACAGACAGCTGCTTAAGGCTAACTCGAGCTTTGAGCTTCTGATGCGATAAGGTAATAAGAACCTAGAACTTTGAAAATGATGGCCAAGTGGGTCAATTGGAGAAATTGGCAAGATACAACATGGGTAAAAGTGACCATCCAATGATCGAATAGAACAAAACATTTAGGAGTGGGGATAACAAGTTAGATGAAATTGAGCAGTGCTGGTCGTTACGATCAGATTACCGAAAACCCCATGAAGGCGTTCGAAAAGTTGAAGATGTTTGCAAAGTTAAACACCAATGTAAGGTGCAAAAACCTCCGGACGTGGGGGCTCCAGAGTGCATCAGTGGCTTGAGGTTGCGAAATGTGGGGAAAGATAACGAGAGGACAGAGGAGAATATCAAGTTTAAGTCCTAAGAGGAAAATACTGTTCAGGTGGTGTCGAAAGGGCTACAGCACGATGCAGTGAGTGTGATGATTGGAGTAATCCCTTTGTATTTGATGATATTGGAGAGGTTAAAGCTAAAAATTTACAAGGAAGCATGAATAGATGTAGAGAAATAAAAGCAAAGAACACGGATATTCGAAACGCTTGATAATAGGCAACGAAATGGGTACAAGTGAAGAGCCATGGAAGAGAATTTTTGAGTTTGTAAACGCGAAAAAGTACATCAAATGACACATTTTGTGAGTGGAAACTTCAAAGCCAAACTGAGAAGCTTTATCTTGGTAGAAGACGATTGATGTTTGACTGTAGAGAACTAGAGGCAATGATGATCTGGTGGCCAAGACGCCAAGGCACTTTATACTGCAGCGAACCAAGCAAGGTGCACATGGTCCAGTGGTCCAGATTCTTTCCAAAACATTTTCAGCAAGAAGCTATACCAATATAGTTAAAGTGGAGATAAAAGGGATATTAAAAATAGTAAGCGTAACATTCCAGGCTGCCAGTTCGCGGCGCCTTGTTTACATCAGAAACCGGTTGTTGTCGCAGACACAGCGCGATCATCCTGTAATATGTCAGACCGGGGACGCGACAACTTATGTAACGGGTAAATGTGGTGTCAAAGAGTTACCTCAAAATTTTGACTCTCTTTTGAAGTACAGTATCCTTAAACTCGACATGAACTGTGATTGGTCGATGTAGGTACAATCCAATAAACTACATATAACACTAATATTTGTGACAGAGTTTCACAATTGGATACTGCAGCCCTTAGTTGAACGGTCAGATCATTTCGAAGGTTGTAACATAAGTTTACGTGCGTTAATCATGGTAAATTTAAAAAGACATTATCATTAGCATAGTGAAAATTTATTTATTAATTTAGTAAATCTATTTGTATTTTTTAAATACTTTCTTCAACTAACCGTAGGGTTCGCTGAGGGCGATAAACAACAATAGTAAAATGCAAAAAAAGTGTTCATGGTGGTTCAATTCTTCAGGTTGAAACGATTTTAATTAAAATAGACCTAATACAGATTTTCCAACATTTTTTGTATGTAAAAAACTGGCAACACATATCTGTTGAAAGTCTAAGAACTCAGACCTAATCCCAGTTTCCCTGTCATACACGCAGTGAAATGACAAAGTCGAGCTGAAGTTCCAAGAAAGGAAGATTCCTAAAGTTATTAAGTGGCAAGGCCGGGGACTGGATCGATGGTGTCGGTCAGGTATGTTATCTGTTTGTGGTGATAACAACCGCCACTTGACAGATACTGTTATCACTATAGGATCCGCACGGCACGGCTCTTATCACTCCATTGATGTTAAATCCTCGGTGATTACTGTAATTATTGTAATGTAATGGATTACCAGTAATTACATTTGACAGTTCCGGACAACAAAGAACGATGACAGAAGTTGCTTTACACAAACACTCGAGAGAAGTGCACAAATATAGCGGCTTAGTTGCGTTGTATCAGTAACGACTATTATGTATAGTGTCATAAAACACCATCGACTGCTGTATACAGTAGCACAGTAACGATTTCGTGGATAAACAGTTTTACTCTACGTCCACGTTTTTAAATTATGCTGAAATAGCTATTTGTATAACTAGTGCGCGAAGTGGCACTTTTCTGCACTATGAGAAATGTTTTGTGTGAAAAGTTTCTAGAGTGCAGCAAAGGCACTTTGCGCTCACGTTACACATTATATTTTTCCTACAGTTACTATACAACATATAAATAAATAGTCTTCAAAACCTAATTCAACTAATTTATAATTTAACGTTTTAGGTTAGGTTTAATTCAAGTGTTGAACGAAAATAGAATGTTGACATGAAATATGAAACAACAGGTTAAGTCGTAGTATCAAAATTCAAAAGGCTGTGAAACGCTGCATCAGCTAATTGTAGTCGTATTATCTTTAAGTGTTGCCAACTTATTTCCAAGCGTACACGTATTACGTGCCTTATAAAAAGCACACTTTTTTGTGTTGTATGGTTGAAATACTGAAATGCGGCAAACAAAACGAGTGCCGCAAAAGTAAGTAAATGCAGCAAATAGCTACATTACGTGCTAAAATCAGTGCAAGGAAGCCTGCTTTGCCAAGTAACTGTAGGAAAATATATTTAAAAGCTTACAAAAAAATAAACACGCTTTTTCTTTTATGTCAATTTAGAAAGCAATCTGCAACAATAAATTTTCTCTTCAAGTGGAGAATCAGTTTCATGAAGTACAAAGGGTACAACATGTTGAGTTCAGCACATGCATTGTCTCAGTAACCAATGGGTGCAGTATGTACTTTATAAAAAAACCTTTATACTTTTCATCAAAGATAAAAATGTTTGCAATAAAATTGACAAAAAACTTTTGAGGTTACAAACCCCTTCAAAAGAATGTATCGGACTACTTCGTTAACTCATTCAATTAGAAGTTGTTTTTCACGTTTGATAAATTTGTTCGGAATCGAAGAATACTATTTTTACGAGTGTTATCGTATCAATGGAAAAACTTAATCGAACGGTGTTTTTGGCTCTTAGAACAAAACGGTTTAGTGGTCCGAACTTACGTCTTGCCATAGAGTTACAGTAACGGTAATAGGTGTTATAATTTAATGTCAAAAATATGAAACTATATGACAGACTGACCGCAAACTCTGTCTATTCTTGTAGGAAGACAGCTACATGTCAACACTGTATATGTATATCCGATGTCTGTGTGGTTAGATAGGTTACATGGTTAAGGGTTACGCCTGCTCTACTAAACCCACGACCTGTGTCTCCTGATGAACTCTGATTACCTACTTAAACTGTAAAAAAAAAAAAAAAAAAAAAAAAAAACTTAAATAATTTATAATGCAGGAGGGTTCCTATACAGTGATAATTAAGTAAAATCTCCAACGATGCATAATCAAGTACTGTAGTTAAAACTAGAATTTCATCAGGTAATTTGACCTTTTTGATAATATTTGCCATATTCTAAAGTCTTTTCAAGGGTTTAACAAAGATTAGTGTAAACTCTCTTCAAACACCAAAGTAACACAATGTAAACCCCTGGGTATGGCGTTACAAAGAAATGCCGATTATCAAATGGAAAATGATGTAAGATCAACAAATGTTTACCTGTGCTTTCTTTTTCTCGTCAGTTATCTTGAGAGGTGACACTTTGATCGCTTCGTTCAGGTTTTTGAGGACAGTCGCCCTGTTGACCGCCATCTTGTCCTGGCCGCCCTATCCTGCAATGAGAGAATATTTGTATTCGTATCTTGTCTAGGATATTACATAGGTAACTTCTTAATTAGCCGTGATCAGGCTACTAGCTCTTCTGGTCACGCTTAGCGGTGCCATACGTCTGGAGACGATAGGTTGAATATGAATAAGAATTACAGTTACAGTAGCCTATAGCATGCACGAATATACCATGACAAACCACAGGTTCAAATTAAATTCTACGTCAGTCAACTTTTCGTAAAATTTAGTGGTCTTCATTTCTTCATCGATCCAACAAAACACAAAGTTCCTACAAACAGAATTTTCAGATTCATAGGAATGATTTCAGTTTTTATTTGTTTAGTGCCTACAGTGAGTATTGATTTGTTGTTGAAGAGTCATTATGCGCTGTAACAAGAAATAATGAAACAGTGTTGTGGAGTGTTAGTGTTCTTTTAACACCCATCGTCTATTAAATTGGTTAAAATGACAAATCTCGTAAACTATCACTCTGAAAAATTTAATGTTGGCTTTGTTGTCTCGCCAACTGATCCGAGAAAGTTGTTTTGGTTAAAGGTTCATGTAGTGGACCAGCGGCTGAATTATCCAGTAACATTTCTTAGAATACATAAAGGAAGCTATGTTTTTAATCTAGATATGAAATTCGTCCAGTTGTTTCGGAGAAATATAGTTTTTCCTAGATCGAGTGTTATGGTTTCGATTTTGTGTAATAGTAATGATTGATTATGATGTTCATAGACTATAATAACTCAAAGGTTTATTACTACACTCCTGCTTTTGTTATACAAATACTCCTCCTGAACGGCTGAAGCTAATCGCACGAAATTTAGCACAGTCATAGTAACTAATCACGGGAAGGTATAAATCTGAAAAAGTACAAATCGGACTACAGGGCTTTTCCCTGCGTGAATATAAACTTTACATGGGCCTTTAGACACTGAACATGTGAGAGCGTTGCAACGCGCGTCCTAGAAACACAGCAAACAAATGAGTGCGTACACATGCAGCGCCAGTGAGGTTCATCGTGCAACGCGCTAGCAGCGCGCTTAGAGTTTCGAAGGTTCTAATGGGACCGTACACATGTGAGCGTTGGAACGCGCGTTTTGGAGTAGAGGGGAGTAGGTTTTGGGTATGTATGTTTACTGTGTATTCTAGATACAATACCTTATGGTAATTACGAGGTCCCATTCTGTTGAAATCCAATCCTTAACAATGCTCTCACAAGGTGCTAGACATACTTTAACTTTCGTTAAATGAAGCTATTAGCATACTTTAGTAAAATAGTAATTAAAAAGCTTACGTTCATATATCCACGATTAGGTTACAAATAATAATAAAAAATAAAAAAAACATACGAGCTAAACTTTCTTGTAAAATTGGATGTCCCAAGTATTCTTAGGGAATTTTCCCCGGCACGGCTACCCAGGAACGCTTTACTTTTTAATTTGTTTTAACAGCACCCTTTTAATTTGTTTTAACGGCACTCGGCCCTGCACTCTCCTGCCCCCTCCCTGGTCGACATTTCTACCCCCATACCCGCCGCACCGTGGAACCGGTCACTGATACCTGGCCGGCACTCGGCCCTGCACTACCATCCAATCCCCATCTTTAATTCATTATCACCTTCACCCTGGTCCTGGCGTGTCGATATTGTTTCAGTCGAATCAAATCCAACCGTAAGCTATAATGGGTTTAAAATAATAGTCTAACCCCCTTACAAGTTGTGGGGTGGTGATGGTGTGATGCAGTCCAGTGTGCTAGTGTGCGTGTGGGGCGCGTCGAGGACCGGCCCCGTTCCAGAACATCTCAATAAGGTAACCTGGCAGAGAAAGCTGCAGTAGGACTGTAATGCAAGGCCGAGTGGTGAGGTTAGACAATTAAGAAGCTAGATACTGTATACTGCAGAAAAACTATCACGGTCATTAGGCTGCGAAAATAGTCGACATTGGCTCAGAATGATCGTTCTGCAATACCAGAACTAGGAGTACTTTGCAGTACCAAAGGTTATTGAATCCAGCTAATACCTTTGCAGTTTTAGGTTAAACACCGGATATTTCAAACACCGTCTTACCAAATATTTTTTTATATTGGGTTGTATAATTCTATTGGAACATATAATATAAGAGGGCCGTAAGCTATGCCCTCCATCGAGTGGTAGGGAGTTATGCTCTCCAAATGAACCAACTGGATGACATTGATGTAACATTATGGATTTAATTTTAACTTGCATTCAATCCAAACTTAAATGAAATCACCAAAGTAGGAGCTGTCCTATCATGACATCTAATTTTTAACACATCGTCGAGTATTCATGGTCGGTTATTATGTGCGAGTGATATCAGGCATTATCACACGTAAACAAAAGCGATAACACACTTCTCCTTGCGGCTGTAAGTGCCAAGTACTCATCGACAAACAATAGTTAGCAGTGCTACCTATTTTAAGAAGTTGTTTTACAATAGTATCACTATTAATATATCTTGGTTGCGGCGGTTTAACCATTTCGAGGTTTAGAGCAAATGAATCTTATTTAATTTACAGTTCATTACCACAAAAATATTTACTTTTCAAATTATGTAAGTCCAAATACTGTAGTAGAAGATAAAGAAAGCTAAGCATTCAATAAATGTTTTTTTGTTTTTTTTTACCAAGGATTAGGTTAGGTACGGTACAAGCTTAGTAACCTTCATCAAGAGGCTTATTTTAACCGCACAGCGGGTTAGTTACAGTACAGGCTTGGTGACCTACCACAAGTGGTTTATTTCGACCACACACCAGGTTAGGTACGGTACAGGCTTGGTGTCCTACCACAAGGGGTTTATTTTGACTTGGCACCAGGTTAGGCACGGTACAGGCTGGGTGACCTACCACGAGTGGTTTATTTTGACCTGGCACCAGGTTAGGAACGCTACAGGCCGGGTGACCTACACCAAGGGGTTTATTTTGACTTGGCACCAGGTTAGGCACGGTACAGGCTGGGTGACCTACCACAAGTGGTTTATTTCGACCACACACCAGGTTAGGTACGGTACAGGCTTGGTGACCTACCACAAGTGGTTTAATTCAACCACACACCAGGTTAGGTACGGTACAGGCTTGGTGTCCTACCACAAGGGGTTTATTTTGACTTGGCACCAGGTTAGGCACGGTACAGGCTGGGTGACCTACCACAATTGGTTTATTTTGACTACGCATCAGGTTAGACACGGTACAGGCTGGGTGACCTACCACAAGTGGTATATTTTGACCTCGCACCAGGTTAGACACGGTACTGGCTGGGTGACCTACCACAAGTGGTATATTTTGACCTGGCACCAGGTTAGGCACGGTACAGGCTGGGTGACCTACCACAAGGGGTTTATTTTGACTTGGCACCAGGTTAGGCACGGTACAGGCTGGGTGACCTACCACAAGTGGTTTATTTTGACCTGGCACCAGGTTAGGAACGCTACAGGCCGGGTGACCTACCACAAGGGGTTTATTTTGACTTGGCACCAGGTTAGGCACGGTACAGGCTGGGTGACCTACCACAAGTGGTTTATTTCGACCACACACCAGGTTAGGTACGGTACAGGCTTGGTGACCTACCACAAGTGGTTTATTTCAACCACACACCAGGTTAGGTACGGTACAGGCTTGGTGTCCTACCACAAGGGGTTTATTTTGACTTGGCACCAGGTTAGGCACGGTACAGGCTGGGTGACCTACCACAATTGGTTTATTTTGACTACGCATCAGGTTAGACACGGTACAGGCTGGGTGACCTACCACAAGTGGTATATTTTGACCTCGCACCAGGTTAGACACGGTACTGGCTGGGTGACCTACCACAAGTGGTATATTTTGACCTGGCACCAGGTTAGGCACGGTACAGGCTGGGTGACCTACCACAAGGGGTTTATTTTGACTTGGCACCAGGTTAGGCACGGTACAGGCTGGGTGACCTACCACATGTGGTTTGTTTTGACCTGGCACCAGGTTAGGAACGCTACAGGCCGGGTGACCTACCACAAGGGGTTTATTTTGACCTGGCACCAGGTTAGGTACGGTACAGGCTTGGTGACCTACCACAAGCGGTTTATTTTAACCTGGCACCAGGTTAGGCACGGTACAGGCTGGGTGACCTACCACAAGGGGTTTATTTTGACCTGGCACCAGGTTAGGCATGGTACAGGCTGGGTGACCTACCACAAGGGGTTTATTTTGACTTGGCACCAGGTTAGGCACGGTACAGGCAGGGTGACCTACCACAAGTGGTTTATTTTGACCTGGCACCAGGTTAGGAACGCTACAGGCCGGGTGACCTACCACAAGGGGTTTATTTTGACCTGGCACCAGGTTAGGTACGGTACAGGCTTGGTGACCTACCACAAGCGGTTTATTTTAACCTGGCACCAGGTTAGGCACGGTACAGGCTGGGTGACCTACCACAATTGGTTTATTTTGACTACGCATCAGGTTAGGCATGGTACAGGCTGGGTGACCTACCACAAGTAGTTTATTTTGACCTGGCACCAGGTTAGGAACGCTACAGGCCGGGTGACCTACCACAAGGGGTTTATTTTGACCTGGCACCAGGTTAGGAACGCTACAGGCCGGGTGACCTACCACAATGGGTTTATTTTAACCTGGCACCAGGTTAGGTACGGTACAGGCTTGGTGACCTACCACAAGTGGTTTATTTTGACCTAGCACCAGGTTAGGCACGGTACAGGCTGGGTGACCTACCACAAGTGGTTTATTTTGACCTAGCACCAGGTTAGGCACGGTACAGGCTTGGTGACCTACCACAAGTGGTTTAATTCAACCACACACCAGGTTAGGTACGGTACAGGCTTGGTGTCCTACCACAAGGGGTTTATTTTGACTTGGCACCAGGTTAGGCACGGTACAGGCTGGGTGACCTACCACAATTGGTTTATTTTGACTACGCATCAGGTTAGACACGGTACAGGCTGGGTGACCTACCACAAGTGGTATATTTTGACCTCGCACCAGGTTAGAC